TAACTCCAGGGCAGTGTGAATCCTGCAAGAATCCAAGATCTGTGAGGGTAGTATTAGTTACAGAACACTCCCTAAAAGGGGTCTTTCATATTAATACTACTAACATTTACTGAGGCTTACTCTGTCTTTTACAGGAATTATTTCATCACATGTTGTAGGCATTATCACTATCCCTACTTGCAGATGAAGAAACTAAAGCACAGAGAGTAGCCTCCTCCTCAAGTTCAGACAACTGGTAAATTGTGGTGCCAGGATTCAATTTGGTCTTCTGACTCCCAAGCTCATGTTTCCAATAGACGCAACTTTGAAGGTATAGAGAGCTAGATGAGTATGTGTTCTGAGGGCAGGCAGCAGGGCATGAGCAAAGGCACAAGGGGAAAGAGTGCCTCTATATAACAAGCATCTTGAATTCTCAGTAATTGTATAAAAATCTACAAAATCACCCTGGCTGGGTGCTTCAGTTGGCTGGAGCATCCCCCCACACACCAAAAAGGTTGTGGGTTTGATTTTTGGTCAGGGGACATGCCGAGGCTGTCGGTTTGATCCTCAGTTGGGGCCTGTACAGGAAGCAGATGATCAGTATTTCTCTCTCATATCGATGTTTCTTTCTCCCTTCCTCTCTAAAATCAATAAACATGCCCTTGGGTAAGGATTTAAACTTTTTTAAAAAATCTACAAAAGCCATGTCTTCTCTCCACGTACCCTTTAGGTCCTGGCTTGCTCGGGGCTGACCTCAGAGCCAGGTGCATGAGTTGGGGGTTCTTTATGAGGCTTTGATTCTATCTTAATTTTAATGATTAAAATTGCTCCAATCTGCCTTCACCACACACCTAGCTTTTCTCATCTCCCCAAAGCCTGATATGGCATAACCTCAGGGTGGCCAGGGGGACTAAAACCAATCCTTCACCTTCACTCATCTTTCAGGTCTCCACATTCACACGTCATTCTCAGGGAAGCCTTCTCTGGTTCCCTAGGGTAAGTTAGATCCCTTCATCAGAGACACTCATATTGGCCTGAACTTCCCCTTTGGTAAAGCCTATCACTTGCTACAGTTCAGTATAAGCCCCTCCCTGCTAGACTTTAAATTCCATGAGGGCAGAGGGCATGTCAGACTTGTTCACTGCTTGATGTACTGCAGGAACTCAGTTATATCAAGGAGATCAGTTATAGCAAAGAAGTTACTGTCTGGGTGTTGGGAATAAAGAAGACATCTTTTTACCTGGGGTGGATCAAGTATAGTGAGGACAGGAAGGGGTGAAGGGAAGAGAGAAACTACATAAACCACCATCCAGTCTGGAGTCGCTGAAAACATGAGAAGTAAACTACCTCTCTGAAAAAGTGAAGGTTAATGGACGCACTTGGACATCTTTCCTAAATACTTAGGGCTCACTGCTCCCACATTTATTACTCATACAACCAGGAAGCCCCCAAATAATCGTGTCCTTCATATTTCTTTGAGATATTAATTTCCTCCATCACTGTTGCCCCAAACAGCACCATAAAATTATTCATAGGAAGTGAGGCAGGACAGCTGGTTTCACCAAACCTCTTCCTGCATCTTAGTACAAAGGGCTAAAAATAAGTAAAATCACTTTGCTAAAATTTCTAACCAAAAATAATTTTTGACAAGGCTTTTGTTTTTCCTTTCCCTACTATTTTTCATTCCCTTTTAATGTTCTCTTTTATAAAAACAAAACCTGTAATTTCATCTAGAAATGAACTATCTCTGTTTCAAGCAACATAAAATGTGTTTTGAGAAAAAAGCCAACATCCTCCCCATGGAGAGAGGACAATCTGAGACTAAATAAAGCACAACAAGGACCACGACATCTGTCCTCAGTGCTACTCCTGTGACCTGGGAGGGGGCCTTAAGAACCTATGGCCTAGAAACAAAACTTGTAAGAATGTCACTTCTCTACATCATTAATCAAAGCGCAGTTGAATTTCCATCACAAGAACCTTAATAACAGTCCAACATTCAGACAGAGTGGGACATGAGTTTAGTACATGAAAAACTTGATTTGTTCCACAGGTAAGTCTTGAATATTCTGTCTCTCATTTCCCTCAGCTCTAAAATTAAACTATCTTTTGATACCTTCCCATTTTGCCAATAGAAGATTAAAGGTTAAATGAAATGTCTAACTTGCTATAAAAGGAATTACTGTAGCCATATGGGGAGGGGCTGGCCGGAGGTAGGATGGATGGCGGGAAGCATGCTCACCCCCCAGAACAGCTCCTCAGAGCCAGGGGGAGCACACTGAGAGCAAAGGATGCTGGCCATAGGCATTAGGCCTTACTCTGTTTTGGAACTTTCAATAGCACAAAGTAAATAATTTTCTTCAGAGGTTATCTGATGAGCTGTTGTTCAGGGTAATTCAAACGGAGAGCACGAGACTTTTCCCATCTGCAAGTGGGTTACATAAGAGTTACAAACAATAGAGTCCTTAAGAGTCCATTAAGTTGGAGCTGAAAACTTAGGTTTAAATAATGCAATGTGGGGATGAAACACAGAAATCACAGAAACACATGTTTGGTATACGCAGACAACCAAGACCTACTATGGAAAGCTTTAACCACTACATGTAAAAATATTTTCACATATCAAAATGGCTCCAAAGTCTTTATCATCATCACTGTAAATCAAGAAATAAAAGTTGCACTAACACAAAACCTTCCTCTTTATAACTGCAAGATTTATGAAACTTTCTTATAAACACATTTTTTCAACCCTGAGGCTGATTATCACCAAAGTGAAAAAGAAAAGTCACTATGGGCTGAAATTGATTCAATGTAGAATTTTTTAAATCATTTATTCTTTAACCTTGAATGGCTTCCTCTTCACTCTCCCACCCATGCTAATTGATGACAGGAGAAATAGATGACAATTGGTTGTGTCCAGTCCAGCAATATATAACATACTGACCATTATGATTCTCAACTTAATCCACCGATCAAAACAAAGAAACAGAATTTTGGTACCAATTTACTCAAAGCTATCACATGAAAAAATTTATCAAAATTGTCTCTTTTTCATAAAAGGGGAGTTGACAGTAAATTCTCAAACAGTTCTTTCTTACAATGTCCACTGCAGTACACTCTACTTGGTAATTCAGTTCAGAGTTCAGACAGATTGCCTTGCAAACTTCAGCTCTGGGCTCTTAGTCACCCTGAGACAAGACCTGCACGTGTCCTACAGAAAAACAGCCCCAATGCTACAATATTCGGTTATTCCAGGCAAGTGATGGCAGAGGCAATCATCTTGAATCAGAAAAGAGATGGCCACGTTGAAGGGGAGACTATTTAAACATTTTTGGTATATAAACAGAAATAAATAGCACAAAAAGATTTTCAAAATCTAAATTCCCAATGTTTCTACCACAGTTTTTTGTGAACAAGGCTAGGGCATGGGTGTGCTACCACTCACAAGGCAGTCTAGGGCTTTTCCTCCCATATGTCCATGATGTTCTCTGCATGTTTCTAAAATGTGCTCTTTCTAAATATTAACAGCACTTCATCAAAACCAACGGTCAGTCAGCACATCTAAGCCAAGCACTCTGTCCTGTCGCTTGGTTTCAGAGTATTATATGTGCAATTTCCTATGGACTACTTACTGTTGACTGCACAATCACGAGGATTCTAGGCTATAAGAAACAAGTAGGGATATATGGCAAGTAAAGAATTACCACACCTAACCTTGTTCCATACTCTCTATTTTTATTATTCCTGAGATGCCTTCCCAATTCAAATGACTGAACTGAACACAGACAGGGACATTTATTGGGTTTGTCTTGAGAAGTTAAATTATGTTCACTACCTCTCAGCCAAACTGGGTGATGATAATGAAGAGAGAATTCAGTATTAGACTGAATTAGAAAAATCTTTTCTGAGAAAGACTTGATACAAGTGTTCTTTTCTTTTTTCCTGGTAGACTCAAGGTTGGAAAAACTCTTAACAATTGTATAGCCAATCTCCCATCTGACACCTGAACTGCTATATAACATTTCTGCCCAGATGTTGCCCATTGTCTGCTAAAATACCTTTAGGGGCAGGAAGCTATTGCAACATTATTCACTCCTCCTTAGAATAGGATAGCAAAACAGATGGAACAGGTAAACAAACTTTCATTAAACATGATTGTGAATTTTGTCTAACTTTTCAAGAGATTTAGCAGATTTTCAATCGCTACTCAAAGGAATACACCAGATTTGTTCCACGAATCCCATGCTTTTCACAATGATTCAAAATGGGGAAATGAGAATTTTATAAACCCTTATTGAACAGCTGTGTGCCTGTGGTCATGGGAAAGCAGATAAAAATATCTTAGAAATAATCACTGTAGGTACTCCAAAACAAAGGGGAAGTAAATGTTTTAAATAATAAATAAAAGTTTCACTTCAAAGCTGCTATAAACACCTTGGGCACAAGTCTTGGTACAAGAATTCCAGAGCCTCAGTGGATGCATAATCACAGCTGCAGCATCTGTCAGTTCAGAGGCAGGTGACAAGAGAGTGACAGGAGCAAGTCTGGGACTGCAGCCTGCTGTCCCCAGCACTCAAAAGCAGGACACGCTACCTTGACTTTTCCTTCCAGCTTGTATAGTAGCACTGTAAATACTTTTTGTATTTCTGACTTCTCTTAAGGTATTCAGACTGCTTCAACATTTCAGATCCCCCCTTCAGAAGACCAACAAAGCAACATGTTGTTCAGTGGACAGTGATATCATAATTCAATTTACAATGGATCAGTTCCTCCGAAGGAACAAGTTTATGTCTATACATGTATTTTCTGAACATATATATGAATAAATCTATCTGAACTAAAAACATTCATTCTGATAACACACAAACTTTAAAAACTCTAAATGATCATATTAATTGAGACTCAGCTGATTCAATTTTGAGTGTTATCTTTCACTGCAAGGTGTTAAAATGGCAATGGTGTCGATTTTTAACACACAAGACTGAATAACGAACAAAAACAAAACAACAAAAAAACCAACCTTAAAGTCAGTATGTCTTTATATGGAGGCCACTTTTTTTTTTTCATATGGGTTTCAAAAGTGTCAGATAATTAACATTTAGTGGCTAGATGACAGGAGAGCAAATCTTCCTGCAAAAAAGAATAAACTTCTTTGACCACTGAGATTTGGAAGTCAAATCAATGGAAGTCTATTAAGTACTCAGGATAGATCTGGTTGGCATCAAACACCACAAAGATCTTTGGATTCCAGGTGTCATCCACACAGCTGTCATATAAATTCACATAGCTACCGTCTTTGGAGGGAGGTCGCATGTATTTGGAGTCTCCATTTATATAGTCTCCAATTAGCACTCGAGCAAGAAACATAGATTTATATGTTCTAAATAGATGCCGCTGTTGCAAGCTTACACCATGAATTTGGAATGTGTTTCCATGTTTTATGTCATCTTTGCAGAAGCGACTGGAGTAAGCAGCATCTCTAGCAAAATAGGTTCCTTAAACAAAAAGAACCAAAAAAAAAAAAAAGCCAAGATTACTCTGAAGAACACATGAAACAGAAACAAAAACATTCTAATTGTTAGGGGAATAGACACATGGAATTATATAACTAAAACAGATGTGGAATTTCCTCTATGCAGATGTTTAAGAAAAGAATAGGAATTCCTCTGTAAGGACAGCTGTGATTCAGGCTTCCATGGGGACAGATATGTTTGTATAGACCAGTCCCCAACACCAAAACCATCCCACCCACACAAAAATGTAGCTGCCAGACTTCTATTTTCAAAAGAAATATTATAAAGAAATCCAATATGTAAGACACATACAAACTATTTAAGTGTGGGAGCACCTGAGTTTTTTTTTTTAATTTTTATTCATATTTAGAGAGAGGGGAAAGGAGGGAGAAACAGAGGGAGAGAAACATTGATGTGCAAGAGAAACATCAATTGGTTGCCTCTCCCACACCCTCATCCCCTACGACTGGGGACCTGGCCTGCACTCTAGGCATGTGCTCTGACTGGGAATCGAACCAGTGACCTTTCAGTTTGCAGGCCAGCGCTCAATCCACTGAACCTCACCAGCCAGGGTGGACCTGAGTTTTAATTGTTTGGACTCCTTTCCATTTCTGTTTCCTTCCATCACTTTCCCCACCCTGCTACACTGTACAGCAATGAAAACTATTGTCTACAGAGATGATTTTAACCCATCCCACAAAACATATTTTATGATAAGGAGTAACAATTCAATAATATTTCCGAAATCTCCTGGACAATAGAACTCTATGTCCAGGAGAGTGTACTGTTCTTTACATCTGACCATCCCAAAAGAACAATATCATTGGTTGATTGCCTAAGTATGAAAACTGAGTAAAGCCTCTGACTCTTCTGAGGAGTCAGGCCTACAAGATTGCCATCATTATAGGAATATTTGTTTTTAAAAGTTTTTGAAAGAATTTCAAAGTCTCATATTACACAATACTGACAGGATTTATGTAACACTTTTCTGATCCTCTCACAGTTAAATAAATGGAATGGCCTTTTCAGTAGTTATTTAAAAATTAATTTATTTTTTAAAACTATAGCACATTCTGATCCTAAGTGGTAATCAGTCCTCTTGATGAAGGTAAGGTACAAAGTAAGAGCCAGCAAAATAAATTTCCACCCCTTACCTTTTCCCCTTATCTCTCTCCTTAATTTGCTTGAGTAGTGGGCATAAAGTGGAGAACTTGGACTTTCACAACATTAGAAAAAAGGTGAGGATTTCCCCCATTATTCCTTATTGCTTATTAATATTCTTACCTATCTTTTTCTAAAAAACAAAACAAACAAAAAATACCAGTACTAGACCCGTGTACAGTATAATTGATTTATTTTATAGTTCTCTCTATATCTGACATAGAACAGTTTTAGTTTTATCCACGGAAAGGACTTAATACATGAAAATTAAATGTCATGCAAAAATTAGCTAACATGGACATGATGCCCCATATGAATGACTGGGAGTGGGGTGTGACTGAATCCAGTTAAAAGGTCTTCTATCTTGTACATGCAGGAAGTGGCTTCTCTGTGGCTCAGAAAATCTAAGGGTGTGATGGGAACTTAATATAGTAACTTTTAACTTAATGAATGACTATCAAACCCCTGAATTACAAAATAATCAATTGTCTCCAAAAAGAGATTTGCTCCCAGGACTCAAATTGGACCTGGAATTCTGATAATTACCTTTACCAAAGAGAGCGCCATGTATACCATTTATTCTCCAATCAAAGTTATGAATGCAAATTGCTTCCACAAATTCACTGCTGGTACCGTGAAATAGCATTTGTTCATTAATCTGAGGCACACCACTTTTTTTCTTGAGCTGAGCCTTTTTCCTAAAAACATAATAAACATAGACAATACACACACAGAAATATAAGTGGCAGATATTAATTTTTCAAGGAGCAAAGTTCAATAAAAAGCATGATCCAGAAAACATTTCTTTAACATAAATAATAAGTGGACAAAGCAGCTCTAAAGAAGAATCTCAAATGCTCTTGAACACATAAATCATCTCATCAAAAATCATTAGCTAACACTGAGACTTAAGGTTTGAAAATTATACCCAAAACTACAGATATGCCAGACAATGCCCCATTACAGTAAAGGTGGTTGCCTAAGCCAGTCAAGTTTTACAGATGCCTAACAATGATATTACAAACAATTAAATAATACAAAGTTCACAGAGTCTTTAAACAGTCAATTCCTTGAACAAGGACCATGCCTTAATTGATGTATTCCCAAAGGCTAAAAAATTTTGGTTGCATTTAATTGAATTTTGAATCTTAGGGCTGGAAGGACATTAAGCCATCATTCAACATCTTCCCAATGGACAAATCCCTTGTAATAAGGTAGGACTGACTATAATAGTATAAAAACAAATTGAAAACAGCCTAAAACTCTTTCATAGAAAAATGAATAATTACATATTTATACATGAAAGTTAAAAGTAGTGAACTAGACTTACATGTATTAAAATAGATAACTTATGAAAAATGATACTGAATGTAAAAACAATGTTGTAAGAAGAGACATATAAATCAAAATAATACTGCATATTGTATAAGTACACACTTGTAGGTAGTAAAAAATATAAAAACACCGACAAGAAGGCAGCACACCAAGCTCAAGAGGGAAGAAAGAAAACAGGATGGGGATGGGGTAAACATTTTACCTGTATATATAAGTCTTTGTATGTTAAAAAATAGATAAAGGAGATCTAAGATAGTAGAGGAGTAAGTGGAAGTTACACTAACCTCCTCCCAAGACCAATCTGGAATTACAACTAAATTGAAAAGAAATCATCCAGAATAACCAACTGAACACTAGCTGGAGAGGAGCCTTACAACCACACACAGACAGAAGAAAGCACTTCACCACAACACTGGTAGGGAGTGCAGAGGAGATTCAAGAGGGCTGGCTGGGCTCCCATGGGCAGCAGCTATAGTGCTGGAGGGATAGTTCAGTGGCCAGGGGTTCCCCTTGGGAAGTCTGGGGTCTAAACCCCAAGTTGGACTCCCCAGGCTATACAGTCATCCCTCACTATATCGTGGTTCACTTATTGTGGCTTCACTGTATCGTGGGATATATATAATTCTGTGTCGCAGAGTTTTCACTATATCACAGGATTTTGAGGTATGTAGGTATTTATATAATATTTATGCCTAAAAATTTAAAATATAAAAATGTTAATTCAAACATATTAAAAATATTAAATTGAAAAAAATACAGTATGTATTTCATCAGCAGATGAATACCGTACTATACACAATGGAAATGCAATAGCCACTACTGCGTGTGCAAGTTTGCCAATGTGAGTTTATACACGGCACACTATTGGCTGATGGAATGGAAGGCGACCAACCACAGCACTGTGTTCTGTATCCTGGGCACTGATTGGCTCAGTGACTGTAGCATGGGTCTGTTTACTCTCCCACACTGTGCCCATATGTTCAGCATCTCTCCTTGTCCACTTTACATCGACATCTGATCGCTGTGCGTAGTGTTGCTCTGTGGTGTGTTTTTGTGAATTTTTGTAAAAGTTTGAATTTATTTCAAGCCCTACAATGCCACCCAAATGTTCTGTGCCTTATAAGACTTCTGGCAGTGAACCCAAGTGCCAGAGGAATATGCTTACTATCAAAGAAAAGGTGGAACTTCTCGATATGTTAAAAGGAGGCAAAAGCTACATGGCTGTAGGCCGCCATTACAGGATCAATGAATCTACTGTTCGCTCCATAAAGAAAGATGAGAAGAATATTAGGTCTACAGCAACAATGGCTTTTAACAAGACTGCAAAGAGGGTGGTCACTTCTTGCAATAAGGCCATTGTGAGGATGGAGTCTGCGTTGGCCCTGTGGATAAATGACTGCAGGAAGAAGAATAGCCCACTGGATACCAACACCATCCGGACGAAGGCCAAGAAACTTTATGATAGTTTTGCAGAAACCATAGGTGTTCACGATGGTGACGAGGATGAAGACAAGGACAACGACGCAGAAGCAGGGCCTTGGAGTGCTTCTCCCACCAAAGCAACCCCTTTCAGTGCGAGCAAGGGCTAGTTTGACAAATTTTAGAGATGCTTTGGACTCAAGAGCGTTTCTCTGCATGGAGAAGTTGCCTCTGCAGATAAAAAGTAGTGCCAGCAACTCCCCATAACTATGTTCATCACTCTGACGAAGAGATCAGTTACACCTACACTTTTAGCGGAAATAGAAGTTATGGTCCAGAGCAAAGATACTACACCATTTGATGTAGTGCTTGATGAAATGGTGCCTTCAAAAGAGCTATAATGCTCTTCTTGACCATGTAGTACATTCATCTCATTGTTATCACCTTCGTTGCCATCAGTACTGCACAGCTACATAATTCATGATCTTCACCATTCAAGTTGTAGTATACTTCACTGGTGAGCACCCATATAGAATTTTATATGTTGCTAAAATTACATAGGTTTAAGAGTATACAAAGTGTTTAAGAGCATATGAAGTGTTTATAAGACTGTGGGAAAGGTTAATAAGAGAGTGAGAAAGGTTTATAGGAGTGTGGGAAGGGTTTATAAAGCCTTAAAATACATATAAATAATAAAATAAATATAATGCCACTACTTCGAGGATTTTCACCTATCGTGGGGGTCTCTGAAATGTAACCCCCGCAATAGGTGAGGGATCACTGTAGCCCAAAGCCCAAAAAGTACCCAGATAACATCCAGCTGTCAAAAGCACTAGGGTTTCTCTCTGCCAAAGACAAATGGCTGTAGTCACAGAGAGCCTCTTAAAGGGTCAATGCACAAAATTTCATTTGCAGTCACTTACCCTAGGTTCCAGCAAAGGGAGGGCAGAGTGGACTAGAGATGCTTGAGGAGAGTCTGGGGATGGTGGCTTTGGGGAGAGGACTGAGAGAATAGCCACCAGTATCCTGGTGCTGAGTTATCTCCCACATGGCAGGAACCATCTTTCTCAGGCAGACCACTCCCTTCCAAGTAGCATCAGCCTGAGGGGAAGCAATAGCCCTGCCCACAGGAATTACACTGCCCCATCCTGTGGTGCTTAAACCTGCCTGCTGGTTACAGACTGACTAGATTAACAATTGAAGGAGACAGCCACAGACTGTGGATCCCTGGTAGTATCAAACAGGCTACCTAGGGCCAGACTAGGACACCATCTCACATTACCAGGAGAGCATCCAGAAAGAGAAGACAGTGCTAAACACTAGATTCTACTGAGATGAAATCGACCACATTCTTCATGATTTATGTTATTTTCTCTCCTGCATATCTATTTAACATTCACTTCTTGTTCTGAAAGTTTGTGCCTATTAGTTCACTCATTTTTATAATATAGTTCATTTCAAATCTCATATTTTGCTCCTCCCTCCTCTTACACCATTTTACCTCCTTTCCTCTTATTTTCATATTAAATTTTGTTTTCTCTCTTGCTACTTCTTTCCACTCCACACTCTTATTATTTCTCCCCCTACAGCCTCTCAAACCATTTTTCCTGTCATTAGTCATCTCACATTCTTTTTCCTGTTTTTAAAATACCCTTATTCTCTGTCTACCTTTATTAGTCTTTGCTCGTTGGTTGTGGATATGGTGGTTGTTAGTGCATTTCTTCAATTTTATTTGTAGATCTTCACTATATTTGTATTTCATATCTCAAATTTTACTGCTCCCCTCTCCTACTCCATTTTGCTTTCCTCCTGCCCTTTCTCTATTTTTGTTTCAAAATTTGTTCCTTGTCTTAGCCTGGTTTCACTCCTCACCCTTAGTATTTCTTCTCCCTCTATGCCCTCACAATCACTTCTCTTTCCTCTAGACATCTTTCTTTATTCCTTCTTATTCCCATCCATCTATATTAATCCTTGCTCATTTGTTGTTGATAGTGCAGTGGTAGATCTTTTTATCTAATCTGGCTCCTTTTTATTCTCTCCAAATTTATAGGTTTCTTTTTGATTTCTGTTTAAACCAATACTATGCACTTCCTGTGTCTTACTCCATTTTGTCTTCTTCCCTCTGTTTTTTATTTATGATGTAAATTTTACTTTCTTTCTTTGCTTTGTCTCTATTCCCTACTCTAATTATTGCTTACCTCTCTAACTTTTCAGAATCATTTTTCTTTCAGGTAGCCATCTGATGTTCATTTTTCCTTTCTCATAAGAGTCTTTATCTCTTTACACCATTATTAATATGAGTTCATTTGCTGTTGATAGTGTGATTGTGGATGGGGGTTATTTTTGCAGATGTGGGTTTGTTACCTGGGCTGTTTGGTCTTGTCCTGGCAGCACCTGTACAACAGCATACAAGACATGGTGGTTGAAGTGACTCTTAGCCAGCCAGAGGGAAGTACCCACAAAAGAACAACTCAAAGAACAACCAAACCCCAATTACAACCAGAGAGCCCACATAAATGGCATAAAGAGCATCCCAAGAGCATAAGGCTCAGGAGGTCAAGGAGACTGCACCACTAAACCCCACAGGTATCCTACCACAGAAGGTCATACCATGAAGACAGGGAATCAAAGCAGATCAATCTAATACACAGAGACAAACAAGAAGAGTAATCTAAAATGGAGATATGAAGAAACAACACCCGATCAAAAGGAAAGGAGGAATCCCCAGCAGACTGCTAAACAAAATTGAGGCAAGCAAACTATCAGACACTGAGTTCAAATTAATGGTTATGACGATGCTCAATGAGCTCAGTGAGAACTACAAAGAACTCTAGGGAAGCTACAAGGACTTACTGTGAACTACACCAGCATGAAAAAGGACATAGAAACTATCAGCAAGAGCCAGGAGGAAATGAAAAGCACAATATCTAAAATGAAGAACACA